GCACTCTGGGAGGGTGAGTGGGAGGAGTGCTTGAGCTCACAAGTTTGAGACCAGCCTGAACAAAAGCAATACCCCATCTCTACTAAAAACAGAAAAACAGGCAAGAGGATCGCTTGAGCCTGAATTGGAGGTTGCTGTGAGCTATGATGCCATAGCACTCACCCAGGGAAACAGCTCGAATTTCTGTCTCAAAAGAAAAACATTTAATGTCATGTGTGTAATAACTTATTATAAAAACAAAAGCAAAACACACAACTACACATATTCCACCTGGGGTTTTAGTTTTAACATTTTTGTTGCAAACATGAATGAATCAGTTTACATAACATTATCTAACTGCTTGAGTTATCTAACAACTCAAGTTATCTGCTTGAGCTGTTCCCACAAATTTGCTACTGTAATATCCCAATATTACCTTTACCTCCAACAAATTATGGGTAGTTTTCCCCTTTTTAAAATTTTGCATTTTCTAATTTATCTACTTTACTTATCACTTACTAAAAGTTCTAGCTAATCTCCTGTCTCTTTCTCAACCACAAAAAACACAGTTTTAATAGTAGGAAAAATGCATGAAAAATAGAGCCAATAAATTCCACTGTGTATGTACTTACAAATTGCCTGAACAATCATTGTGTCTACTTTGTCAGCACTGAACTTCAATCTGTAGCGAGACAGGCTGGGGAGGAGGAGGAAAATAATTAGTAATAGTAAAGAAAATCAGTTAACCAGGAAGGGCCTATGAAGTACACATTATAAGAAATGCAGCTTAGCCAGGTGTGGTAGCTCATCCTTGTGTAATCCTAGCACCATAAGAGGTGCAGGCAGAAAGACTGCTTGAGCTCAGCTCAGAGACCAGCCTGAGCAAAAAGCAGGATCCCATCTCTACTAAAAATGTAACCTGGGCACTGTGGTGGGCACTGTAATCCCAACTACTCAGGAGGCTGAGGCAAGAGGATTGCTTGAGTCAAAAGTTTGAGGTTGTGAGCTATGCTGACACCATACGACTCTAGCCTGGGCAACAGAGTAAGATTCTGTCTCAAAAGAAAAAAAAATCTCTTCTGCTGCAATCTCTATTTCTATTACCTATGATATGTATTAGCTTGTATGTATGAATGACAAATGGAGGATGATGATACACAGTGCAAAAAAAGTCATAATGCTTTATGTGACATTTTAAGCAGCACATTAGAGCTTTATACTACCAGGTATGAAATTCATAGCACTCTTAATATCTGCAGAATTTCTTAACCTTAGTACTGACATGTTGCCCCTCATAGTTCTTATTTTAGCCCTATGCATTAAGTGGTCTTTAGCAGTATCTCTGACTTTTACCCATTAGATATGTCTGTGGACATTGCCAAATATCCCCCAGGGGACACCTGATTGCCCTTGATAGAGAACCACTGTTACACACATAATGAGGATTAATCACAATTTTGGATCTTGACTAATTTTCAAGATTCTCTTAGAAGTGCTTTTTTAAAAAGTTCTTCCTGACCTTTACCGTTTTTGGTCTTATATCTGTAACTGAGCAGCTTCAAACCTTTCATCAATCTACGCTTACCTTTAAAAATTTTCTTAAAACCTTTTCTTAAAGGTTCATACCTAAGAATTTTTTAAATATAAAGAGGTCTTTTAAACTACCATAATAATTTTATTAGGATTATTAATGAGTAAATCTTAATGAGAGTGATCCAATTATAAGATTTTATCTACCTGTTTTCTATTTTGTTTATAAATGCTGTTAAAATAAAATAAAACCAGGGTAAAACAATCAATACAGACAAACGTTATAAAAAGAGACCACACCAGATGACAGGATTTGAGAAGGCAAGTGCGTGACCTAGCAGAAAATCCAAGAAATGTAAGATCTAAGACTAGATAATTTCCTTTGGTGAAATTATTTTCTCCCTTTGATGACATTTTAAAAGTAAAGGCAATGGAGCTAAATTGCTGAGGTTTAAATCATGACTTTACCACTTACCAACTAGATTAACTTTGCCTAGCAGTTTCCTCATCTGTAAAATGAGGATATTACTACTTTATTCCTTCTTAAGATTGTTATTAGGATTAAATTAGCATTTATGACTTCTTAGAACATTCTCTAGTAATTCTCACCTGTGGGCCAATCCAAGACACATAGCAGCCATTTCACGTGGTTCTACCCCAGGAATTAATCCATCCATTTGTGAACGGATTCCTCTCATAAGTTCATTAACAACAGGACTATGGATACAACTGAGATTCAGCTTTTCCTACAAGTACAAGAACATCTGTATTAAATAAAGAAAAAAAAGTTCCTGATGTTATTTCTTAATGTTAATATATGCATTTCTCAGTTTCACAAAAGTATTGTTCTCTTTTTCCTTTCTTTCTTTTTTATTTTTTAAGAGAGTCTCACTCTATTACCCTGGGTAGACTGTCATGGTGTCATATAGCTCATAACAACTTCAAACTTCAGCCTCCTGAATAAATGAGAAAAGTATAGTTTTTAGTTTATAAAACAATCGAGTGTATTCCTGGTTGAAGTAAACTTCCAGAAGGCACTTGGCTATATAAATCAAAAACAATAAAAGGAATACAATGTGATCCAGTAGTTTTATTGTTCCTAGTAGTTTTATTGTTCCTGTTTGTGGTTTTGAAGGGAACTTTTACTACCTTATATTACCTTATTTTTTAAATTATAAAGGTAAGATTGGACATGGTGGCTTGGCACCTATAGCTCAAGCGGCTAAGGCGCCAGCCACACACACTAGAGCTGGCAGGTTCGAACCCAGCCCGGGCCTGCCAAACAACAATGACAACTACAACCAAAAAAATAGCCAGATGTTGTGGCAGGCGCCTCTAGCCCCAGCTACTTGTGAGGCTGAAGCAAGAGAATCCCTTAAGCCTAGGAGTTGGAGGTTGCTGTGAACTGTGATGCCACAGCACTCTACCCAGGGTGACAGCTTGAGGCTCTATCTCAAAAAATAAATAAATAAATAAATAAGATTGGGCATGGTGGCTCATGATTATGATCCTGGCACTTTGGAAGGCTGAGGTGGGAGGACCACTTGAGGTCAGGTGTTCAAGACAGCCTAAGGGGGCAGTGCCTGTGACTCAAAGGAGTAGGGTGCTGGCCTCGTATGCTGGAGGTGGTGGGTTCAAACCCAGCCCTGGCCAAAGACGGCAAACAAAACAAAACAAAAACAAAAAAGACAGCTTGAGGAACATGGCAAGACCCTGTCTCTACGAAAAATAGAATTAGTGCGCTAGGATGATACTATCGCACTTAGCCAAGGCAACAGAGAGACCATCTCAAACACAAATGACAGATGGGTACTGGCCAGGTGCAGTAGCTCACGCCTATGATCCTAGCACTCTAGGAGGCCGAGGCAGGTGGATTACTTAAGCTCATAAATTCAAGACCAGCCTGAGCAAAAGCAAGACCTCATCTCTACTAAAAACAGAAAAACGGAGGCAAAAGGATCATTTGAGCCTGAGTTGGAGGGAGCCTGAGTTGGAGGCTGCTGTGAGCTATGATGCCACAGCACTCTATCTAAGGCAACAGCTTGAGTCTGTCTCCAAAAAAAAGAAGGGTACCGATGTAAGCCAGTAAGCCATAGGCCTTTCCCTAAAGGTTAAGTACAGTAGAACCTCTAAGTTGATTACCCAAGGCTCTTTAACAAACTAGTCAACATAGTAAGGTGATAAGGAACTAGGCATACTGTACTGATCCATACATGTGGTACATTGTCTGTGAAAATCAGGTCAACTTGAGGTGGTTAGTGTAGGGAATTGATCAACTATGGAGGTTCTACTATATTAAGTGTCCTTTAAATACTTCCACATTATATAATATGTTAATATGTCTATGCAAACACATGCAACTCAAATCTTTAAAAATACATTTTAAATTTTGTATATCCCACAAACAGGATAATAATTTTTTCCTATATACTTCTGCTTTTCTACTTCATACTGTTGTTAACTCCTCCATATAGATCTACATAGTTCTATTTCATGCTTAGAAATAATGACAGACATTCAAAATACATTACTGAGCATACTATACCTGATAGTATTACATGCTTTTTTAAATAGAGAAACTGAAAAGATATAATTAAAGATACCTATAATCTTGTCATTAAGTAATATGCCCTCTGTGTGCCTTTTAGTGTCATGTTTCATACATGTGTACAAACCCACTGAAGCAGTAATGCTTACATATATAGTCTTCAGGCTTTTAACTCTGTTGAGTATAATATACATATCCAGGACTCAACTTAGAATGATGCTTCATTTTGTCGATAATTGAAAACATTTGTTCACTTTATAGTATGCTAAAACTTTAGGTTTTCTAACAAAAATATGAACTAGGGTTTATGAACACTTCAAAGGATATAGAGAATGATACTGGCTGGGCGCCCGTAGCACAATGGTTAGGGCGCTGGCCACATACACTGAGAATGGCAGGTTTGAACCTAGCCTGAGCCTGCTAAAAAACAATTGACAACTGCAACAAACAAAATGGCTGGGCATTGTGATAGTTGCCTGTAATCCCAGCTACTTGGGAGGTTGAGGCAAGAAAACTGCTTAAGCCCTAGGGTTTGAGGTTGTTGCAAGCTGTGATGGCACAGCATTCTGAGGGTGACAAAGTGACACACTGTCACAAATAACAACAAAAAAACCCCACAGAGATTGATATTGCAGAAAACTACTGCTTGACAGTAGTGGAAGTAATATTTTTACATAAACTTCAACGATCCT